ATGGAGAACGCAAAGTCAATGACAAGGACGACAAGAAAGAAGACGGCAAACAGGTCTGCGGGCTGGGCTCTCTGTGCTGCCTGTGTGCACCCGGGGAGAATAGAGCAGCTTTGGGGGTGGGGTTGGGGGGGCCAGAAATTTGTGTACTGAGTCCAGGGAGAGGTGGAGGTGGACTTCCAGGCTCAGCTGTAGAGGGAGGTGGGGGAGTAGGATGGTGCGGAGAGGGCTCTGATAAAGGCTGAAGGGGAGACTGACATGCCTGTGATTGTCTTTACCTGTAGGCTGAAAATGACTGTTCTAATGATGACAAAATTAAGAAATCTGAGGGTGATGGGGACAAAGAAGAGAAGAAAGATGACTCTGAGAAAGATGCCAAAAAGGTAGGGTAGGGGCACCTGGTGGCTTAGTTGATTTGAGCATCCCATTTGGCACAGGCCATGATTCTGCGATTTGTGAATTCAGGCTGTGCATCAGGCTTGCTCCTGACAGCACTGAGCCCACTTTGAATCCTCTATTCCCCTCTCTGCTCCTCCTCCACTTGCACTTTTTCTGTCTCTCGAAAATAAATCTTAAGGGCCCTTTGGTTGCTCAGTTAAGCGTCTGACTTTAGCTCAGGTCATGATCTTGCAGTTCACAAGTTCAGGCCCCACATTGGGCTCTGTGCTGCCAGCTCAGAGCCTGGAGCCTGTTTCAGATTCTATGTCTCCCTCTCTTTCTGCCCCTCCCCTTCTCGTGCTCTCTCTCAAAAATAAATAAAAACAGTTAAATAAATTTTTAAAAATCTTAAGAAAAAAAGAACAAAGAGGGGCGCCTGGGTGGCTTAGTCGGTTAAGCGTCCGACTTTCGCTTAGGTCATGATCTCGCGGTTCGTGGGTTCGAGCCCCGCATCGGGCTCTGTGCTGACTGCCAGTTCGGAGCCTGGAGCCTGTTTCGGTCTGTGACTCCCTCTCTCTCTGACCCTCCCCTGCTCATACTGTCTCTCTCTCTCTCTCCTAGAAAAAAATAAAAAACATTAAAAAACAAAGATAGGGTATTTCTTGCTGGGGGTCAGTGTTAGGACTGGGGTCCCAGTTGTCTGACTCCCTTTGTCTTGCTGCGCCTCTCACAGAGTAACAAGAAGCGGAATAGAAAGCACAGCGGTGACGACAGCTTTGACGAAGGCAGCGTGTCGGAGTCGGAGTCTGAGTCAGAGAGCGGCCAAGCTGAGGAAGAGAAGGAAGAGGCTGGTAGGTTTTATTTTCTGCTTCTGTTCCATTCTCTTCCTACTGAACAGAGGTAGGGAAGGTGAGGGTGGGTGAAATTGATAAGGGAGGGCCTTTGGGGAGATGAGGTGGGGGTTGGGAGTTTGACAGCTTCTCTTTCTTTCCAAAATCGACAATAAACATTCACCAACTCCCACCACTTCCTGCATAGAAGAAGCACTCAAGGAAAAGGAGAAGCCCAAAGAAGAAGAAAGGGAGAAGCCTAAGGACACTCCTGGGCTGGAATGTAAACCCCGGCCCCTCCATAAGACTTGCTCCCTCTTCATGCGCAACATCGCACCCAACATTTCAAGGGCAGAGATCATTTCTGTGAGTGAGGAAAAGTGCTACTGGGGGCAGGAATGGCTCCATCTTTGGTGGCAGGAAGAAGACGATCTGGCTCTGCTTCTAACGTATATCCCTGTTTCTCTAATAGGGAAGCCCCCTTCTCCTGGGTCCATGCCTTTTGTGGGTAGGCCCTGGTTGCATCATTGCTTTTATTGGTTTTTCCTTGCTTGAGTAAAGATTCAAAGGCACTTCTAGGGTTCTGAGGACATGGGGATTGGAGGAAGCCGTGAAACGTTGACTCGCTCAATGGGTTTCCATTCCTCTGCTTTTCCAGCTTTGTAAAAGATATCCTGGCTTCATGCGTGTGGCACTATCAGAGCCCCAGCCTGAGAGGAGGTGAGGAATGGAGAGAAGAGTGACCCTGGATACCCTGGAGAGACGTGCAGGGGAAGGCTAATGGGCAGTACCACCTCCGCCTGGATTATGCTGATCTTTTCTTTTGTAGGTTTTTCCGCCGTGGCTGGGTGACCTTTGACCGCAGCGTTAACATCAAAGAGATCTGTTGGAACCTGCAGAATATCCGAGTAAGTGCTGGGGGTGGGCTCTCTGTGTTGCACACAACACAGATTTACTCATTGTACTCGGATTTACTCATTGTACTCCCTGTTTCCTCTGTTCAGTCTGCTTGCATTAAGCATATACTGTGGGCTCTGGGCTGGTCTCTGGTGCTGTTCCTGTGAATAAGACCTCTGGTCCCTTTTGTCTGTGAGCTCAGTCTGAATGCAGATCTTATTAGTAGGGCCAGTCTTTGAGTTGCTGCTTCGTGGGGCAAGTGTTGGTAAGCTTTTCGTTCCCTCCAGCTCCGGGAATGTGAGCTGAGCCCTGGTGTGAACAGAGACCTGACCCGTCGAGTCCGCAACATCAATGGCATTACCCAGCACAAGCAGATCGTGCGCAATGACATCAAGTTGGCAGCCAAGCTGATCCATACGCTGGATGACAGGACCCAGCTCTGGGCCTCTGAGCCTGGGACACCTCCTCTGCCAACAGTCAGTGACTCCCCATGGAACTTTTTCAGAAACAGTCAATACCATGTCGTCTGCTTGGGCATCTCTGGTCTGGTCTTACTTGATCTGTAACATTGACCCCTTGTACTTAAGCTCTCTATCTGGGCAGCACCTCCAGCTTCCAACAGAACAGATTTGCCTTAGTGAGGATTTGCTAGGGATAGAATGAACAAAAAAGACAAACAAAGAAGCAATGGTTATAGGCCAAGTGAACCCTGAATTCCTTTCTGCATCACATGAAGAGGTTAGGGGACTGACCACCCCAGGGGGCTTTTCTCTGCCTAACCTGCTCTTCCTCCCCACCAGAGTCTGCCCTCCCAGAACCCAATTTTGAAGAATATCACCGACTATCTGATTGAGGAAGTGAGCGCAGAGGAGGAGGAGCTGCTGGGGAGCAGTGGGGGGGCCCCCCCTGAGGAGCCCCCTAAGGAGGGGAACCCGGCAGAGATCAATGTGGAGCGGGATGAGAAACTGATCAAGGTGCTGGCATGAGCAGAGTGTGGCAAGAGCAGGCGGGCAGGAGCCTCCTGGTTTAGGGCAGCAGGGGGCGAGAGCAGGGTAAACTCCCGGCTTCTCATTTCTCTTAGGTTTTGGACAAACTCCTCCTCTATTTGCGCATCGTGCATTCTCTGGATTATTATAACACGTGCGAGTACCCCAATGAGGATGAAATGCCCAACCGCTGTGGCATCATCCATGTTCGTGGGCCCATGCCACCCAACCGCATTAGTCATGGAGAAGGTGGGCTCCCAGCTTTCCTGATCCTCGTGCTCCTTTGGTTTCCCTTTCTCTTCAGCTGCCTCTGGCCTTGGATGTGTTTGGATAGCAGTGCCTTACCACTGTCTCCTTTCATTCCTTTTTACATTGTTTTTAAAGATTTTATTTTAAATAAAGTAATCCTTATTATGCCCAACATGGGGCTCGAACTCATGACCCTGAGAGCAACAGTCACATGCCGTAGTGACTGAGCCAGCCAGGCACCCCTTATCACTTGCTTATTCCTTGCTTTTGGCTCCCCTCTCCAACCTGCTGTCATCTCTGTTCCCAAACTGCAGTGTTAGAGTGGCAGAAGACATTTGAGGAGAAGTTGGCTCCACTGCTGAGTGTACGGGAATCTCTTTCAGAGGAAGAGGCTCAGAAGATGGGTCGCAAAGACCCTGAGCAGGAAGTGGAAAAGTTTGTCACCTCTAACACCCAGGAACTGGGCAAGGATAAGTGGCTGTGCCCTCTCAGTGGCAAGAAATTCAAGGTTTGGGATGTTAGAGACTTGTGTGCTAGACCCGTGGGAGGAGGGGGTGGAGCCAGGAAGCCTCCTCAGGCCTGGGGAAGAATTGGCTTAGTGGAATTGGTGGGTTGAGAGGTTGATTATCCTTCCCGAATGCTCAGTGTTCTCACCCTTTCCTCTTTACCAAGGGCCCTGAGTTTGTCCGCAAACATATCTTCAATAAGCATGCAGAGAAAATTGAGGAAGTGAAAAAGGAGGTGGCATTTTTTAACAACTTTCTCACTGATGCCAAGCGCCCAGCTCTGCCTGAGATCAAACCAGCTCAGCCACCTGGCCCTGCCCAGAGTAAGATACGATCCGTGAGGGTCTGCCACAATCCCTCTCCCTGGACTATTCAAGGACTCTCTGGTTGTCATAATACCCTGTGGTCCTCTGAAAGCTTTCTATTCCACTCTCAGGCCATATTCCTAAAAGCCAGTTATCATTCCCCATTCCACACTCCCCCTCCCCCCCCCGCAGTAATTCATGTTCCTGTCCATGTTGTACTCCCCCCAGGCCTGACGCCGGGACTCCCCTACCCACACCAGACTCCCCAGGGCCTGATGCCCTATGGTCAGCCCCGGCCTCCCATCTTGGGCTATGGAGGTAAGCATAGGAGGGATATGAAAGGGCTTGGTGGACTGTGTGAGGGGTTTGGAGGAAGGAACCTTAACCAAGGTGTAGTTGAGGTCACAGGTTTTCAACTCAACACTGATCTCTTTCATAGCTGGTGCTGTCCGCCCTGCAGTCCCCACAGGAGGGCCTCCGTACCCTCATGCCCCCTATGGTGCTGGCCGAGGGAACTATGATGCCTTTCGAGGCCAAGGAGGTTATCCTGGGAAACCTCGAAACAGGTGAGAATGAGCTAAGATAAGATGTACAAGCTTTCTTGCCCTCTTCAAGGTCCTTTTCAGGGACCTTCAACTCTCCTTCCATCTTACCTCTTTTTTTTATCTCCCAGGATGGTCCGAGGAGACCCACGGGCTATTGTGGAGTACCGTGACCTGGATGCTCCGGATGATGTGGATTTCTTTTGAGCTTTTCCTCACTTCTGGTGTCGCCTATACTTGTGACTGCCTCTTACCATCCAGTTGAGAATTTTTTGTACGTTCAACCCTACTGCCAATAAAAGCACTTCCATAGTGATTGACTGTTTATTATATGCCACCCCAAATTCTCCCCCAGGATTGGGTGGGCCATGATTAGCTGAGCTTTACTATTTCATGGACTTCAAAGGCAGCTTTTGCCTTTGAGAAAAGGGAGTAGGTGGCTGTGTTTGGGGTGAGACATCTCAGTTCTGGGACCTTAGCCTCAGTCCAGGGCATGCTGCTGTTTTTGGGAGTTGCGGCTGGTCAAACACAGGTTGTAGAAGGAGTTGCAGTCAAAGGCTGTGCCCACCTCTCTCCATCCCACCCACCCAGCAGCCTGTAGTTCACTAGGGTTTTTCGCAGCACCCCAGAAGTGAGGGTCCAGTACCAGAACGTAGGCTTCCGTGCCTGATCCTAGGCAAACTCCCAGCAAGGCCTTGGATTGGGCGTCAGCATCCCCCCCAACCATTACAGGCCCCCCGCCCCCTGCGAAGTGGGAGTAAAGCCTCTCAAGTTCCCCTTGAAGCCCTGCTCCACGGGGTATGTGACATAGGCGCCCCTGGGGCCCTCCGAAGTGGTCGAGACAGAGACTGGCTTCTACACAACCGATCCAGCTGCGGGAGCCCCGGAACCCAGGGGGCTTGTCGCCCATGTCCTCCAGGGCCTCCTGCACTTCAGCCAGCCCCGGTACGCCGGTGGATCGGCCCTCTGGCCATGAGCACAGCGTCTGCAGGGTGCGGTAGCCGCAGCCCCAGCCCCGGTCGTCCAGGCCGTCGCAGCCGTAGTGATAGTAAAGGTAGTGACCTGAGAGGAGGGCCAGGCGAGCGGGGCAGCGGCCGGGCGGGGCCAGGCCCAGGTGGACGTCCTTCAGCGGCTCCAGGGCGGTCGGCGGGCACGACGATGGCCGAGGCCAGGCAGATGTGTCCTGGCGGCGCGAATGGAACTCCGGCTCCAGTTCTCCCTCTCAGCCCTGGGTCTTGAGCTAGTCGCGGGCAGGACCGGCGCACGAGCTCTGGCGACGCTCTTGCCTGGTTTTCGGCGGCCGCAGAGGTGCGACCCGCGAGGCTCCCACAATGCACCGCCGCACCGTCTTCGTGTTTACTGCGCGGGCGCGAGCCCCGCCTCCTAGGGCGGGGCGGGGCAGGGCGGCGGGAGCGGGAGCGCTCCGCCCCACTTCGGAGATCCGCAAGTTTAGCTCGCGTTCCCACCCGCCCCTCAGTGTACTCAGCCCTCGTGTTTGAGGCCCTGTCCCCGCTCCCTGGTCGCGCACACTCCTGTGGCTGTAACAGTTTATTGGCAGCCCAGTGGGGCCAAGGCACCGCGGGGGAGGGGCTCGGCCCGAGACATGCAGAGGACGGGGAGCCTCCGGGGAAAGTCGGGGGTGGGGTGGGGTGGCAGGGTCTAAGGCTCCTCCGTGTTATATCCCAGCCCTTAAATAAATAGTATATACAGCTAGGGGGCCGGGCGGGGCGGGCAGGGCGGGGAGACGTGGGGGTCCAGTTTGGGTCACAGGTCTGAGCAGCGATCCTGCTTGCTGTAATGGTCAAACTGGTTCTTCCAGTGCACCATGTAGGAGCTCCAGCGGTGGAACTCTGCCTTCCACTGGCGCTCCGCCTCGTCCAACGTGTCTGCGGCCACGGCGCCCGGCAAATGGGTTGGAGGAGACAAAGGGAAGGTCGGGGAACGAACAAGGTGGGGGGCGTGAGTGCAGGAGGATACAAAAACGCAGGACCGCACGCAGGAAGGTGGAAAGAGGATCAGGGGAATATGCGAAAGACGGAAGACCAGCGGAAGGATGAGGGTGGAGGCGGAGCCAGAGAAGGATGGCGGGAAGGATGGTGGGGGGGAGGAGAAAATGACCGAAAGGTAGGGGGACAGAAAGGATCAGAAGAGGGAGGATCCGTGGGTTGGTGGGGAAAAGAGAAGAAACAGAAATGGTTGACGGTTATAGTTCCTCTAGGGGGTGCTATCTAGCTCCTGACCCTCACTCTCACACACACACCCCGCCCCCCGCTCAGGCTCCAAATAATTTTATAAAAAAAAATTTTGGCTTTTTCATTTCCATTTAAACAACCAAGTCGTGTGGGTCCCTGAGACGGGTCGTAAGTCACCACCCCCTCCCAGCCTTGACCAGTTTGAGTCTGTCTGAGAAGGGAGGGTGCGTTGGGTCAGAGATCCCTGAGTGGGGGCCCTTCCCCACTGTCCGACCACTCATTAGAGGGGCCCCCTGAGGCCGGAGGGGTAAGTGGCCTTGGTCACAGCCGCAGGAGCCGGGAGGGGAGGAGGAGGAAGAGGAGGAGAAGGAGGGGCAGGGGAAGGCCGGGCCTGGGCCTCGGGGCAGCCTCCCCGTGGGCGGGGCCTGAGCAGGTGCTGGGAGCCTTCGAGGCTGGGGGGGAGAAGAGAGGGGTTACACCCGGCCCGCTCCCATTCCCCTCTCTCTCTTCACGCCCCCTTTCTGCCCTCCTCCGCCCAGCCCCAGCCCGCTGGCCCCTGCCTACCGGTGGCGCTGAGCAATTTGGGTAGGAAGCGGTTCCAGAAGGCGCAGGCCTGGGCGCGCAGCCCTCGCCGCACCTCCAGTGGCCTCAGGTTCAGGCTCACATACTGCTGAGCTCCCGCCGTGTATGGTGGCCACTGCGGGACTTTGGGGTCTCGGGGGTCATTGGGGTCCCTTCGGAAGAAAAGGGACGGCTCAGCCTGGGGCAAGCCTGCCCCGCCCGCCCTTGGGACTGTGGTCTGAAGACCTAGAGCAGGGGGAGGCAGGCTGCTCCCTGACCCCGTGCCCTCTTATGCTCCTTGGAGAGCCCATGCCCTCCTCCCCACCACCTCCTTAACCCCTCTTTCTGGTCTCCTGAATCCTCCCATCATCTAGAGCCATCCCCGTCCTCCTGCCGTCCCTCTGTCTCCCTTTTCTTCTTTTACTGCTCCATCTTTGTCTTTGTTTCTCTGTTTAAAACATTGAGCCCTTACTATGTAACCAGGCCCAGTCCTCTCTCTGCAAACATCTTGTTTGCTTTTGGTAACACCCATGTGCTGTTGGATTTACAGTCCCCTTTTTGGGACAGGTAAACTGGTGTGTGAGTATCCATGCATGTGTGCATGCCACCCAGTTGCTAAAATCACCCCTGGGCCGATTGAATCTAGCTCTGTACAGTTCAAGCTCCTAATTACTATGGTAACTCTTTTGTTTCCTTGTCTCTCTTTTCTTTGCTTCCCTCCCCCTCTGTCCTTGTCTCTTTAGGATCTGCTTCCCTGATGTCCAGTCTCCTTTGTCAGTCTGTCTCCCTCTTTGTCTCCTTTCTTTTGTGAACTTTTCCCTCCCTCTCTGGCCCTTTCTGTCTGTCTCTGCTTGTCTTCCTCTCTCTCTGTCCCCTGCTCTTGCTTCTCTGGCTCCTAGAGGCCCTCCTCCCCTCAGTACTGCTGACCCTGTGCGGGCGAAGTTGGCCCAGTATCTCATCAGTCGCTGAGCAAAGGTTCTCTCCTCGGCGGTATAGTTTAGTGAGGGTTCCAGAGGGAGCCCAAAGATGAACTCGATCTCGTAGCCATGGGGCACCCCCATCCAGAGGGGCCAGGAGAGCGTAGACGCACGGTGTTCAAAGATGTAGGCATAGACCCGAGCACCCTGGGCAGCCAGTCGCCCAGCCAGCTGGGCCACGGGGCACACGACGTTGTGATCGCCCACGACATCGCTCATGGCCTCTCTCAGGCGTGCGGGGTCCTCAGGGTTCAGCCAGTCTGTGTAATGCAGGACCACAGCCTCGGCAGCTAGGTCACTCGCCTGGGGGACCCCGACCCGCACCCCGGCCAGGAACTGGGCCCGGCTGATGAGAGATTCGTTGTCTTTGCTGAAGCCTGGGGCCCCGTAAACCAGAAAATAGGAGCCCTCATCCTTCACCACACCCACCAGCACCTGGGGGACAGGATGGAGGAAGGGGGTGGAGTGGGGGGCACAGACAGACAGGCAGACAGAAACAGATGGACAAAGAGCCAAAGAGAGCAATAGTTATAGACCCAGAACCATAGAGGAAGAGACTATAGGTTGGGGAAGGGACAGAGAGAAAGAGAAAATGCACCCACGTTTCTTTTTCTCTCTGTCCTACTGACCACCCTGGGATCTGAAGTCTCAGGGAAGGGGGGGTGGCCCAGAGGCCAGAAGCCCAGGCCTTTGGGAGTTGGGTCTTGAGGGGCCTTCATGCCTGGGTCCCTGGGGGGTGGGGGGTGGGAGAACAGGCCTAGAGGAATCAGCTCCACCCCTTCCAGCCACTAGTCACCTGCAGCCCGTGGAAGTCTCCAGCATTGATGAGGGCCTCGGGTGTGTCACTGAGGAAGTCTCCATCCACCACAGGCACGAAGGAGAAGCGGAAGACACTTTCCTGAGGCAGCACATGCCACTCGTGGTCCACCAGGTCCTGAGCTGGTCGTGTCCTCAGGCAGGCAACCAGCTCTGTGTCATTGCCACCGGCACCACCCGGGGGACAGCCTATGAGCCGTGCCAGCAGTGTGGCCCTGCGGCGGGCCTCTCCCACACCCACTGTGGCCCAGGGGCCATTGGGTGCACCGCTCTGCAGCACAGCCCTGTGGAACAGGCCCCGGCTGGGAGGGGACAGCAGGTGCATGCCCACTGAGGCAGCACCGGCGCTTTCCCCAAACAGAGTCACTGACATTGGGTCTCCTCCGAAGGTTGCCACATTGTCCTGTACCCACTGCAGTGCCAGCCTCTGATCCAGTAGACCCACGTTGCCTGGGGCCTCCCGGCTCCCTGGTAAGGCCAAGAAGCCAAAGGCTCCTACCCGGTAGTTCATGGACACCAGCACGGTCCCCTCAGCCTGGGCCAGGAAGCGGCCATCATACACATCCAGGGAGGAGGCCCCACTGTAAAAGCCACCCCCATAGATCCAGACGAGGACAGGGGTGGGGGACACAGGCCGGGGGTATGGTGTCCATACATTGAGATAGAGGCAGTCCTCACTCAGCTCACGGTTGGGGTTCCACATCTCGGTGCCCTCAAAGCCAGGGTACAAGGTGTCCACATATTGGTAGCAGACACTTTGGAAGGCTGTGGCATCCAGCACCCCTGGCCAGGGCCGCTTGGGCTCCGGTGGCAGAAAGCGACGGGGGCCCACAGGTGGCTCTGCGAAGGGGATGCCCAGAAAAGCAGAGACAGGGCCCCCTGGGGCCATTAGGCGGATGCCCCGCAACTGGCCCCCACGCACCGTCACCAGCAGCTCTGGGTCCTCAGCCTCTGCCCCTCCTCCCAGGAGGAAGAGGAGGAGGAGAAGGATTGGGGTAGCCAGGGAGGGCGTGTGCAGGGGACACCAGGGGGGCCTCATGGCTGCCAGGACAGGCAGGCTCTGCTGGGAGAAAGAAAGGCAGAGGGTGAAGGCCTGAGGCAGGCAGGACCAAGGAGATTAGGTAACACTTTTGCCCAGGGGTTATCACTGAGCTGCAGAGGAGGTGGGGCAGGCTGGTAGAGAGGAGGGAAATGGAGGGACACAAGCAGAGACAAGGGCACAGGCAGACGGAGAAGCAAGAGGGGACAGAGAACAGGCACAGAGACACAACACCCAGGCAGCCGAATGCAGAGAACAGAGATGAGGCCAGGGATGAGGGCAATACCTTCCCCTGCCCCACAGAGGGCCCACCACCCTCACCTCCTTCCCCCAACTGGGTGGACTGGGTTGGGCCCAGCGTGAGCAGTGAGGGTACCCGCACCAGAGACCGCACCAGAGACCGCAGTCCACACACAGGCCACCCGACAGGGGTGGGGCCCTCACTGACGGGAGGCGCTGATCGGGAAGCTTGTGGTGGCGTGAAGGCGCAGGCTCTCTGGCGTTGGCCAGGGCCGGGACCCCGAGGGGTGGGTTGGGCATTCAAGGGTGTGGGAGCTGCAGGTCCCGGGGCACCCCAAATCCTGCTTACTCCACACCCTGCCCCACCCTGCCCCTCCTCATCCACTGCCTGGCACGGGGTACCCGTGGGTGTCGGTGAGCTGCGCACTCGCCTCGCCTAGCCTCAGGGAACAGGCTCATCAGCCCCGTCCCCCCAGGACTCAAGTCCCCCATCCATCCGATGCTGCGGGGCACGCCGCCGCCAGTGGGGGGCAGTAGAGACCGAGAAAAGGACGGCGCTCCCCGCCCCGAGTCCGGGAGCCGGGAACTTGGGGCGGGGGTCTGGAGGCTCGCGGGCATTGCAGAGGTGTCTGAAGGGCGAACCGGGACGCCTGTGTTCTCGGAGCTCCGGAGATCCCCGGCTGAAGGGGCGAGGGCGCTATTTTGGGGCAGCAGCTGCTGCGGTTCCGGCATCTCCAGCCAAGGGATCAAAATTCCCCGGGTCGGAACTCCCCCCTCTCCCGGCGGTCACCTCTCACCCAGCCAACACCCGCCGCCCTGCGGCTGGGGGGTGGTGGTGGTGCTGGAGATTAACTAGGAAACCCGAGTGGGGCTAATTATAACTCGGGGCTTCCGCTGAGCCTCCCCTTTCCCCAAAATAGAGACGGAGTCCCCGTGGGAGGGGGACGCCTGGGCCTCGAAGGGGGCTTCGGCTGGGCGCTGCGCAGGGGCGCTGGGGTTGCGGGCTCTGGAGGGGGGGCAGCCAGCCTGGCGCCAGGAACCTGCGCAGCCCGGGTTCCGCCCTAAGCAGGGGGCATCTGCCGGTGGTCTCAGACTTGAGGGCGGGCGGGGGAAGGGAAGCTCGGGGGTCCCCACAGGAATTGAGAGCAGGGGCAGCCGGCCCCGCGGGGTGCCGGCTCCCGCACGGGCGACCGTAAGTATGCAGCGGAGAGGCAAGAGTTAAGGATGAGTGTGGAGCGGCGGGGGGCGTCTCTGGGCAGGCCCGGGGGCGCGGTGGGCGTCTCGTTCGGGGGCCTGGATCCCTCTGAGAGCGCACATTTTCCCCGGACGCGGAATCGGCCGCGGGCCGGGGGAGGGTCCTGGCCGAGGCGGGAGACTCACCTGAGGCGGCCGAGCCGGGCCGGGCCGGGCCGCGCCGGGAGCTGGAGGCGGCCGATGTTCCCCGGCGCAGGCTGAGCCGACTCTGACAGCCGCCGCCTCCGGCCCCCTGCACACACCCCCTCCGGGCCGCAAGGCGCCCCCGCCCGCCCCCGCCCCCGCCCACTGTCTCCGCCCCCGCCCCTCCCCGCCTCCTCTGGCTGCCACCTCCCCTCCCTCTCTCTCCCTCGGAGCCGAGACCCGGAGACCCCGGGGCCCAGACGGACGCCAGTGACAGACGCCGACAGACGGACAGACACACGGTGACACGACCGAAAGACCCGCAGCGGGGGAGCAGACGCGCACAGTGACAGACGGACAGAAGCTGCGGAGACACACGCAGACGGACAGTCGCATGCAGTGACAGCTCCAGACAGTGACCGACATTCACAGACGGACGGACACACACTCGGACATACTGACAGCCTCAGTCAGGGCTGGGGGCTGAGTAAATGGACATCCTTGGCCACGACCCAGGGAGGGGGGTGGCGGCATGGGAGGACTGGCACGTTGAAAGTGTGGCTGAGGACCCCTTTAGGGGAGAAAAGGTGACATGGGATACTCCTGGGGGATGAGAGGACACCTGTGGGAATGAAGATGAGAACATGAGATCACGAGTGGAAATGAAGGGGGAGGGCCTTGGAAGAAGACCCTTTGGGGGGGGAGGGAGAGGTGACTCGGGGACACCCCAGAAGGCAAAACGTGGTGGCACGCTCAAGGCTGCGGGGCGAGGCCGCACGCCTCTGCCGCAGTGGAAACTTCCGGAACCCCCGCGGGTGGGTTTGCACTGGTTCCCTGACGGGTGACCTGGGACTTTCGTCACCAGGGTCCGGTCGGGGCATGACATCACCAGACCAGGCTCTCATTGGCCGCCGCAGCCAGCAGGTGGGAGCGGCCTGGACCCGGAGCCCCCAGCCTGCTCGGAAAGGCCTGCGCCGCAAGGACCCCCATGACTCTTCCTCCAGGGGGTCACCCATGGGAACAGTGCGGCCGCGGGGGCGTCCCCACGCCTGAGGTGAGGGTGGAAAGGTGCGCCGCGGTGTCCCCGCAAAAGTGCACCGCGCGGTAGGGCCTACCACTTTGCGAGCGTTGGGCTCCGGCGCCCACGGCCCGCTGCGTGGGAGACCGGCCGGCGCGGGCTAGCGTCGGGGCGTGCGTGCGCGCGCGCGGCGGTGCGGGGTGCTGCGTGGGGCGTGCGGGCGCGCGCACGTTGACTCGGGCACCCAGTGTCCCGCAGCGTCCCGACACACAGCTGCTGGTCGGTTGCAGTTAGCTGCCGGCGTCCCCGGGTCTCCTCGGGGCCTGGCGGCGGCGGTGGGGTCCGCACAAATCCATAGACTTTCCCTGCCCAGGGCTGCGCAGTCCTGGCTCTCCAAGCTGGACGCCCCCACGCCTGCGAGTCCCGCGGGAACCGGCAGCCACCGGCCCGGGGATCCGCGCTGGGTCCCCTTTCCACTCTCGAGCTACAGCCGCCAGGTGGCGCTGAAAGCAGCCTCTTCGCGCCTCGGAGACTGCGATGGTGCGCGGGGTGCGCGGTTAACCTCACCACAGTCTGTTCGCACTGTTTTCACTTTCCGCCGTTCGCTCTTCACGCACCTCAGATACCCCGCGTGGACACCGAAGTTCCCTACATCCGGCTTTCAATATCCTGGCTCCATTAGTTGAGTGCTCCCCGCTGATTACAAACCGTGCCCCCACTTCCACTCCCCAAAGGGCAGGCATAGGGCTGTGGGTTTGGGTAAGGGACTGAAAGATGGACAGTTGGTGTTCCTGCGGGGAGAAAAGGATCTGAGGCAGGTTTCTGAGCGCAGCCGCCTCACCTGACTTTTCAAATCATAAGGTCCTAAGGAGGTCAGGGACCCTGTTAGTTATGAGCTACGTGATTTGCAGGATGAAAGGACAAGGCAGGTTCGAGAGATCGAGCCCTGTGTTGGGCTCTGAGGTGACAGTGTGGAGCCTGCTTGGGATCCTCTCTCTCCAGCCCTCCCTCTCTCAAAATAAATAATAAACATTTAAAAAGGAGAGACTGTCTAGTTAGAGGAATGGCAAGTCTGCATGGAGTCCTAGAGCATGTAGTTCCTAGGTGTGGCCAGGGCTCTGCAGCTATTTTCGCATCTGAGAGTCCTGCTGAGAGGCCACTGGTGTGTCCTCAGCCTGCGGTTTGTCCCAGGATTGTGAGGATGGAGGAGACCATGCAGATGTGTCCCATCTTAGACAGTCTTTAAATTAGTAATGGGCCACCTGAGAGAGCCAGCATAGAGGATCCACATGGCATCGGAGTAAACCTTGGACTGGAGGTCTTGATTACTGGATTCTCACTCAGTGCTCTGCTGTCAGTGAGACTTCTGGAAAGTTCCACTCCTTGTCTGGGCCTCAGTTTCCTCATGTGTAAAATGGTGGATTGGACTTGAGTATATGTCAGAATCACGGGGACCACTAGAGGGTCACATGCGGAGCAGTGCTGGACTAGGTGTCCCCACAGTCAGTCCAAACTGACCTCCTGAGGACCAACAGCCTGTATGGGTCAGAAGAAGGTGCTGTTGGGCAGTCAACAGGTATGTGAGCTAACAGGGACACCTCTGGCCACAAAGGGAGATGGTCACAGATTTGAGCCTCTTCTTAAAAATGGTTAGAAATTGGGGCGCCTGGGTGGCTTAGTCGGTTAAGCGTCCGACTTTCGCTTAGGTCATGATCTCGCGGTTCGTGGGTTCGAGCCCCGCGTCGGGCTCTGTGCTGACTGCCAGCTCAGAGCCTGGAGCCTGTTTCAGAGTCTGTGACTCCCTCTCTCTCTGACCCTCCCCTGCTCACGCTGTCTCTCTCTCTCTCTCTCCTAGAAATAAATAAAAAAATATTTTTAAAAAATGGTTAGAAATTTCAGGAACATTCCTGTTTTCACCTTGATCTTCTCCCTAACCTTTGTTGACACAGGGACCTCCCCTGTCTAGCCTTTCCCTATATGGTTCAACATAGTAAACTCCCCAGCATCCTCTCTGATCCCACCCTCCACAGCTGTCACCACAGGGGTGTCCTTGATTCTCCCATGGAAGAATCTGTTTACCCAGGAATCGGCCTTGCCTCTACCACCGGTTCCTTCTGTTGCATCCTTGCCTGCCACATCTGCCAGCACCAGGACCACTGCTTCTGTTACAGTCCTTGCCCCACTTCTGCCACCAAAGAGGATTTTCATCTCCTCTTGGTTAGGGTTCAGTACAGTTGTGTGAGACAGAAAACCAACCAATAATGGCTTGAATGCAATGTAATGGAAATACATTTCTTTTATATAAAAGTGACTCAGAAGTAGACTGAAGATTGGCATAGCACCCTCAAAATCAGGGACCGGGTTCCTTTGCCCAGAATTTTGTAACTTAACCACCTTCAGCATGTAGCTTCCACTGCATGGTGTAAATTGGCTGCTGGCGCCTCAGCCATCCCATCTGCATTCCACCCAGCAGGATGGAGGAAGGACTGAAGAAGGGCATCACTTCTCTCTTTCAGAACACTTCTTGGAAATCACACACACAGCACTTTGGTTTATATTACAGAGCCAGAACTTAATCCTAAGGTCATAACTGGCTATGCCAGAGGGTCAGAGATGTAGTTTTTGTTCTGGATGCCTGAATACTCACCTAAAATTTGGTAGTTCTAATACTAAGGGAGCAGACACTGAGGGACAGTCATCCTCTGCCAAACACCCTGATGGCTGCCTTTGCCTCTTTTAGTGTAGGGCTGAAACACATTTCTACTTTTTAAAAAAATGTTTACTTATTTTTTATGGGGGAGGGCAGAGAGAAGGAGACAGAGGATCTGAGGCTGACTCTGCTGACAGCCAAGAGCCTGACTCAGGGCTTGAACCCACAAACTGCCAAATCATGACCTGAGCCAAAGTCGATGCTTAACCGACTGAGCCACCCAGGTGCCCCTGAAACACACTTCTAAAATACAATTTGCAGCAATGGTGGATAGCACTAGAATGTATTATGCTAAGAGAAATAAGTCAGAAAAAGACAAATATATGACTTCACTCATATGTGACATTTAAGAAACACAACAGATGAACGTAGGGGTAGGGAAGGAAAGGTAAGATAAAAACAGAGACTCTTAAATGCAGAGAATGAACTGAGTGTTGCTGGAGGGGTGGTGGGGGAAATGGGCTTAATGGGTGATGGGTATTAAGGGCAGCATTTGTTGGGAGGACCACTATGTGTTATATGCAAGTGATAAATCACTAAATCCTACTCCTGAAACCATGATTACACTATATATTACTGAACTTGGATTTAAGTAAAAGAAAAAAAGTCTCAATCCTGGGCTGGCGCCCCCGACGCCTTCTCAGGAATACCACCAGACTCTGATTTTGTGTCTCTGGGTCACGGCAGCTGCTTTCTCACGGAAATCACTGTTTCTCGAGCCATCCGCTGGAGGGCGCTGGTAGGGAGGGTGAGGCGCTGCTGCTGGTGGCGCTGGGCGTCTAGTCGGGAGCTTCCAGAAGAGGGGCGGCCAAGGCGAGGCCGGAGAGCTCGGTGGCGTGGGGGGTGAGGGCGGCAAAGGGGTCCCAGAGAGGGGGCGACGCAGCGCCCAGACCCGGGTCCTCCCACCATCGCCGCCTGCAGAGCAAGGCCGGGGCGATGGTTCCGGATGTCCTCAGGGGCCGCCCCCGCTTAAGGCTGGAGGGCGCCAGATGAGGCCACTGCCCCTTTCCCCGCTGTCGTTAACCTGAAGAGCTGGGAGCATGAGCCTTGCAAGACACTTTCCTTCCCTCTCTCCACCCCAACCTGTGCCCCCTTCTGAAGATTGGCCTAAAATACATACTTGATCCAAGTTACATGATTTCACATGATTCCTGCTCAGAATCGCCCATCCAATCCTGTTTGTACCTTTTTCCTCTTTTGCCAGTTTTGAGCATTTCACAGATTTTAGCCTGTCTCTGGATAGACTCGTTTTATCGTCACAACTCTGTGAAATATTTAACCGGTTTTCAGTATTCCCCAGGCAGTTCATTAAACATCCTTTGGCTTATTCTCACCCCCTTTCTGGCTGGGGGGAGG